TGCTCAAAAAGAGCAGATGTCTGTGTAGCCAAGTCCTTGGCTGAGTTAATATATAAACAATAAGATAGCACATTTGCTATCTGTCTTAAGTAATACCTATCTCTAGTCAAAAATTTCTTAATTAAATTATTTATGTCTATTAAATTAAATTAATTATTATAATCATAACAATTAAATGTCAAGTTTAAATTATTATTACATGAAAAGTTATTTATTAATAAATTTAAATCTATCTTATATTATTTTCCTGTGGCCAACCCTGTATGTAAGGCAATGTAAACAAGATAATTTTATGTACATTTAAAGTATTTAGATTCTCAATATATTTTAATAATTGATTTTTGTTTACATTGAACGCCACTGCCCACTTAACCATTTACTGTCAGATGCCCTGTAACTATACTCGCTACTGTACTTGTCGAAGTATAAATCTACCCGAACTAATTTCAAACCTGAAGGTCAGTTTTTTCGAATACATTTGTAGCCAAAAAGATGACAAGGTGCGGAAATGTCAACAGTTGTGCCATTTCTTTAGTACAACACAGAGTGACTACATATTTTAGGTTTTAGGATATTATGTTCTGAGTTTTAAATATTTGTGTTGAATTTATTGAATAAAAAAATCTAAATAAGTGCCTATTTCATATTGCACACAATACATTTTATAAAACATATGGAGGCTGGAGTTAGGGTATATAGTTCTTAGTAAAATCTTAAGTCATCATAGCTAGGCTTTAAGGCGCAGGTTGAGCAAAATGTCGCGCTAGTCGTTATTTGTGCGGTTTTTAGGAGCTATCTACTTTTTATTTAAAAGATATATCAACAAATAAAAAACACATTATATTTCTACATAATCTTGATTCCATAAAAGCTATATCCAATTTTTCTTTAAAGGAATAAATATTAATTTAATCTCCTTACAACGAAACCACATAAATGTGAAATTATTATTGATAACATGCATCTCCTCGTAAAGTAAATATTATTTTATTTTGCGGTTTACACTAATGGATAGGCAATTTATTAATGAACATTTCTATAGTAAATTTTTTTTCAAAAGACCAAAATTTGATTTTATTAAGAAATTATTTTAAAATCTGGGCATATTCACTGCTCACGGGCTTGCTGAAGTCAGTGAGCGCTGAGCTCTTCGACGTGAAGCCCGTGTCGTTAGAGCGTCGACCAGCGCATACACTCACGTCATATCAGTCGATAATATTATTACTTTTTAGGTTATTTACGGGTAGTATTATTTGTTTGTTTTGGGTATAATTTTTCGTATTAGTTATACATATATTTGTTGTGTTTTTTACTGCGCGATGAAGCTTTTTTCGTGTATTTTCTTTGAAGTAAATGCAAATAAAAAAATGAAGCACCATTAGCATGTAAGGTTCGAATCCATAATTAAAATTTCGACAAATATTATAATTTACACTATAAAAGGCTAATTCAACATTATCACCCAACCACAATATCTTATTAGGTTTAGTACAGCCTCGTTGGTTTAGTGGTTGTAGTAGTGCGACTGCTGATCATGAGGTCCCGGGTTCGAATCCTGGGTCGGGCCAAAAAGTCAGTTATGAGTTTTTCATTTATGTTCTAAGTTATAATTATAATTAGTATTACTAAGTTATAGTTTTTTGCTAACATATAGTATATTATTTATTGCTTGTTTTTTCTTCTTTTTCAAAAAATTATTGAGTACATAAGGTGTTCTATACTTATAATTCGGTAAAAAGTATCTAAGTAGGTACTAATATACCTACTTTTTACTATTAACTAAAAAAAATTAAAACTAAATTTAACTAAAAAGACTAAACTGACCATTTATTTTTTAACTCAAAACAGGACATGGGTTTATTTATACTCTAAAAACTATAACTTTATACAATTAGTGTTCACTATAAAATTATATTCGGTATAGACGGTAATTATTAAATGCAACATATTTTTTTTAATTATTAATTACATTTGTCAGTGGATTAAATTTGCTTTAATAAAGTTGGTGATGATTTTAAATAAGAATAAAATTCTGCTCAAGTTTTTTTATTGTTATCTTTGTATGCACTTCTACACAGAGAAGAAATCTTACCCACCTACTAACTAATTTAGGTTTTAAGCTTTCACTAAAACAAATGTACATTTTATTAAAGGTCTTTTTCTTTCTCTTTTTCCTATTTTTTCTAACTTGGAAGCAATATATTTAATTGTTCATCATAATGATAATATATACAGAACCTTAATTGAGCAAGGCTCACCTTGACTTGGCTGGTTTTTTCACTTTTCTTTATGACATGAACATATATTTGAAATCCCTTAATTCAGGCCGTTGAGGAAACTTAAAGTTGCTCAGCACGCTATGGAGTAAGAGGGCTAATGCATAATGGAATTCATCATAAAGATATCTACAGTAGAATCAAAGTAACAGGCATATCTCAATGGACCACTAAGCTAGTGGCTCTGACCCTTCCATATAGCTCATGAGGATGAAAGGTTCTCAAGTGTCATCCTTGTACCAGTAAGCGAATTGAATGACGGCCCTCTCAGTAGATGGGGTGGTGACCTGCTAAAACAGGAAGTCAATGGATGCAGGTGGTTTAAAACTGTGTTTTTGGCATTCCCTGAGGAGGCCAATGTTCTTTAGTAGTTTTTGTCTAGAATGATGATGATGAAACCGGTAAGCAATCTATAACAATGTCACTGCTAACCCTGAAAAATGTTGAAGATTATGTTATATTATGTTATTTTAAAATGTTGTATAGATTTAAAATCATCTTGTAGAATATGTATGCTGGCTATACCTAACGAGATTAGGCAAATTTGGTGTCTGGCGATTTAAATCTTCCTAACATAAAAATTAACATTATTCTTGCTTGTTCTTGGCTAAACTGTATATATTATATATAAACCGATATACATACAAAAAGAAACAATCAAAAAATCAAATTGTCTTATGAAAATACAGAAAAGGACAGTTTACAAGCAAGATGTATGTTTATTTATTTAACTTAAAATTACTCTATTACACAATAGTGATAATTATTTAGCATCTCTAATTTTAACTTAAAAAAAGAAGATGAAATGAAAACAAAACAAAGATAAAAATATCCACATAATAGCTTTGGAAGTAGTCTTTTGAAGAGTAAAGCCCCAACTTCAGATTTTATGATATTAAAATTATGTTATTCTTTTTTATTTATGAAGTGGGTTTTTAAATTTTATTAAATGATAAACTTTTTATCCTTTTGAGTTGTCCAAGCAATATCACAGCTCAAGGTAACATCTAAAATATCATACACACACTACATTGGGTTGGATTTTTTCTTCAATAAAAAAAAAAACATTTAAATTTACTAAATTATAATTTATTAAAATATGATATTATTAATTACTCTCTCTCTGTTCTCCAAAAATCTGTAAACATACATCAAATATAGACCTCTCTTTTTTGACCTAGGTTAATTAACAATACATCGCTTAGGTTGGCCACATACATACGGAATTCCGTTTCGATATTCCGATTCGGGATTCCGTGAATGCATCACACACATACGTTTATTTCCGTTCGGAATAGCAAGGGTCAGTTGAGAGACATTAGCCATTGACATAGACATTCTGCCAGCGAATAATAACGACTATTTTCTGATTGCGATTCCATTGTTGCTGTATCATTCTTACTAGGTGCATCCCCTTATCACCCTAAGCTTGCAATATAGTCAATATTATGTAAAAAGATATCTATCTATCCAGAGTATTTTTTTAAATATGGATGTCTAAACTCTTTCGACGAATTATTAAATTAAATAAGATGAAAGGTTACGAAAAGATATACACCTATAAGATTATGTGTAAAAACATACATAAACACACCTACTGGCTTTGGTCGTGCGACGAACACTGAGCGCGTTTCGTACGGAATTTACGAATGTGTGTTGCGACTCATACAAAATCTATGGAAGACTTGCGTTCGGAGCGGCTTTTTTCCGTTCGGGACTCCTAACGCACAGGCGGTCATACGGAATCTCAAATCGGAGAAAATTCCTTACGGAGAATTACCATACGTGTGTAGCGGGTCATAGATTTTATATGGACTTGCTGCGTTCGGATTTCCCAATCAGAATATCGAAACGGAATTCCGTATGTATGTGGCCGGCCATATGCAGTGCAAGCTTGTGTTTGAAGGATACGTTGTATTAAGGATAGATAGCGTAAAATTCACTCTTCTTTTCTTTTTTCTTTAAGAGTTTTACAATGTAACACAATAAGTACACTAGGATTTCCTCTAGTATTGTAAAGGGCGGTTTATATACATAAATTGCACATGGACAAAAATCCAGACCTGGAACAATTATTTCTAGGCCATAGAAAGAATTATTCCAAGTGGGATTTGAACCCGGGGCCCAGCAGCGGCAGTACCAAATCCTTAGCCACTGGGTTACAAAGCCGTCAAACAAAAACGAAAAGAAAAACGCAAATTTACCAGATTGATAATGGGAGTAGCTTCAGTAATGCAAGGGAATAGGCCCTGTAATCACCAACCCATTAGTCTGTTGTGATGAATGTCTGGCGATGCATTCACATAAAAGCCCATGCACAACTTAAAAATACTATTGATGGAGATATGATGTGAATAGGAAAAATATAAAATCTTTTGTAGAAGCAACAAATGAAACTCAACATACTTTCTGGCTGATTTAAACTAAAACTGCAACTTCAGAAACCGCTGGAAACTATTAGTTATAAAATTCTGTGTCTTCAAAAATACCTCCAAGTGTTCAATTAAATATCTACTTCTTTCTGTTCTAAATGATTCACTTTCGAAATCAGCAGCGCATGTGTGGCTTTTGCTAATGCTAGTAGCCAGTGGTAGTAATTTATAAAAAATTAATTCTTTTTGTCAGCTTGAATTAAATATAAATAAAGGAAAAAAATTAAATGTAAATTTTTAGGTTGTAGGTGTAAACTTTTTATAATATAAAACATTGTTTATTTTGTCATAGATCTCTGGCGATGCCAATGGGGAACAGATTTTGACTGCTGCGGTGGCTTACATGGAACGTCCAGCATTGCTTACCTATGTGCTTAATGATCTTTACACTCTAGTTCGCTATGAGAACAAAGCATATGTCGGTCGTGCGCTTACTGTCGTGTTGGATGCAATGGTTAAACATGTTTCAAATAAAGATATTCAAACATCAGCAAGGTAAGTTTGCTAAAAGGAGACATGACCCGGGCTTAACCATATCTGCGAGAGTTTCTTAAAAATTTAAAATATCTAACAGCATCTCATCAAATTTCCAAGTAGCCGAGGATAACACAATGAGTGTCTTGAAATAAAAAATATCAATATATTTAATATATGGTGTAGAATTTGTCGAAATGATAAGCTAGAGGCTCATAAATTTTGATTGAATACTAAAACTAGGTAAATTAAAGGAATCTTAACCTCCACCAGAATAAAATGAGGAAAGGTCTACCACAGGACTCGGTTTTAAGCTCTATTGTTTATAATATTTACATGTACGACCTTGAGCATTCGATTTCGGCTTTCTGTGACAATATTGTAATATATGCAGATGATCTTGCTATCTATGTAACAACTCCTGATATCCTAATTCCCTCCCATCATCTTAACAAAGGCTAATATATAATCCAATGGCTCACCGATCATGGCCTCTCTCTCTTAGCTCCTAAAAGCAAAATAATAATCTTTAGTAGAAAACGTGTCATTCCTGCTATTGATATCTCATATAATGGTGCATCTATCCCAGTTGTTCACAAAGTAAAATTTTTAGGTATTTACTTAGATTGTGATATGACTGATACCTTTCACTTTAATTACATCAGTAACAAATGTGAGAAAGGTGTTAACATCCTTAGATCTCTTTCAGGCGTATGGTGGGATTCTCACCCCATGTGTCAGAAAATCCTATACAATGCCATCATCTGCAGTCACTTCAACTATGGCTCTTTCCTCCTGGAGCCCTGCAATAAACCGGCCCTTAGTAGGCTTGAAGTTATCCAAACAAGATGTTTGCGTGTTCTCACGGCGCAATGAAATGAACTCCTAAAAATACTTTACAAGTAGAATGTGTTGATTCCCCTCTCTCTTTACGAAGACAGTTTATAGCTGATAGATTTCTTTCAAAAACACTACAACTAACATCTCACCCCCTACATCGTAAACTAGAATCTTTGCTACTATTAGTTGTAAACAACTCCTATTGGTCCAATAAATCCTGGCCCTCTATTCTTAAATCTCTAAATAGATTAAAAATATTGGTTATCCTTGTGTATCATCTCTAATACTACCCTTGTTTGAAACCAGTTATAAAGCTCTATTACCGAGTCCTAAAATCACACTGAATTTAAATATTAATAAAAATTCGCCAGCTGCATACAACTTTCTACAGCCATGTAGTAAAAAGTTGGCCTGATTGGCTATACATAATTTATTGATGCTTCCAAATTGTATTAGTCTAAATGTGTCGGTTCTGCAGTATGGTTTCCCAAATATGAAATTGTCCTTAATTATAGATGTCCTCCTCAGGCTTCTGTTTTTACTAGGGATTCTGTCACCATATATGAGGCTATATCCTATTATTTTTCCCATAAAATTCCTAGGTCAGTTATATTTACTGATTCAAAAAGCTGCCTAATGTCCTTACAGAGCAATATATTTAAAATTAAATCCATCTCCCCATTAATACTGAAAACTAAAGAATAAATTGAATTGAAAAAAATAAATTGTGATAAAAGTGGACTTAAGGAAGAGATTGTGTTGATTCCTAGTCATTGTGACGTAGAAGGAAATGAACAGGCACGAACAGCAATGAATATCGCATGACTCCCCTTTTATAATTATCTTCATTGTATCACGTCTCATTTAATTTTCGGATTTGTTTCAGCAACTTTTGTGTATAATTTAATACTTTTCATTATTTATTTTTTAATTTTAAAGCACAGAACCTCATGCATATAAATGCAGATACTGTGGTACTTTTTTATGGCAACAAGGGAAGTAATTAAAAATACTCCATACAGTAAAATAATGCATGTTAAAAAATGTAGAAAGTGTGAAAAAAATTTTGATAAAAAATGTTAGTAAATCTTATAAAATTTGTTGAGATTTTGTTTCATTTTGTCAAATAAAATTGAGGGAAATTTGTGGGGAATCTGTTGAAGTTTAGTCCTTAAATTGGGGAATTTGACATGGATTTTCGGAGAATTTGACAAATTGATGTTGGCAATGCTGCCATGTTGCACCGAAAGTTAAATTTTTAAGTTAGATTTGTTTGCACGCGACATAGTAATTAGAGGCGGCAATCACAATAAAACTTGCAAGTAACTTTTAATAGTTTTGATGTACCTCTTTGTAAATTCAAAGTATTGGACAGATTTAAAATGGAACGAAAGTCAATTAAAATAAAGTAAAAGAATTATTTTTTACATTATTTCTGATAGACTAATTAACTGTCGATCATAATTGCAATTGATTTTAACTCTTAAATTATTCAATACCATTTCATTACTATTTTCTTGTACAAAATCAAAGATAACGATATATTTGTGTTTATAATTGTGTACTTATTTAATTGTGTGTATCATTTTTGTAGTAACGAATTGCTTGTTGTGTCAGGGTACAGTTGATTGTCTAATTTGACTCCTGGTCCAAAGGAGCTGTAGATACAGGCTGCCCTTCTTATTTAATGATTTACTCTCAAGATCTATTGTCATTAGCACAAATTGAAATAAAGAATTCTTGGGACAGAGAATGGAGTATCTCCAGACATATTAAAGGTCACTATGGTAAAATCCAACCCCAAATTCCATCAAAACCTTTGTTTTTTTTTTAATTTAGCTTTTTGAACAAACAAGTCACGTCTGTATCTGTCGTTTAAGGCTCGGGCATGTCTGTATTTCTAGCTAAAATTAGAATCAAAGATCATTCCCTCTGTGAATGTGGTCTGGATGAAGGTACTCCAGACCACCTTTCCTTCAATTGCCCTTTCCCTTTCCCCAATTTATTTATATAACATCCTTCCCAAAACTTTCCCTTGACCGGTGAATATTAATTCCCTCTTAAGTATCCCTAAATTCACATGTCAATATGATCTCAAAATATATTCAAATGTATAATATTAGACTATAATTATTGTGTACAACTTTAGCGTAACCTAATTCTCTATTCCCTGCTCAGGCTACTCCCCTCCTATAACTAGATGTTTGTTCTGTATTATGTTGTCCATAACTCGTTTATTTTGTTATGTTTTGTTTTTAGCCACATTGTCACCTAATAACCGCCAACTCCTTTCCCACCGAGAAGCCTCAAGACAAGGTGTGACAGACCAAAGACCGGACATTGGCAGAATTATTGTGACATAACTACAATACCGAGGGCCATATTGTAAAAAAAAAAACCTAGGTAATCTGTTCGGAGTAGGTAAATGAATAAAATTCGATATTAAAATCTCTGAAAATTCAGTGCAATGGACACAATTATGCATAAGTGAAATATTGAGGACAATGGTGTGTGAAAATAACTCTCAATCTGCACATGCAAGTGATATATTATTGTTAAAAATTGAGATTTAAATAATATTATTATACAATTAAGATTGTTAAACTAAATTGTCACATGGTATTTAAAAATAATTAAAGAGTTTCTTGTAGGTCCTTTTATGAGAAATTTTTGTTTTCAGAACCATGTAGATTCTTATGTTTATAAGAGCATAATGCAAATCTAAATTAAATTAAAATTTGCATATAAATTTAAAACCTTATTTTTCAGTGCTTCCCTCTTGTATATCGTCAAAGGAAGGGAGAAGGCACGCATTGGCATTAAATTGAAGCGTCGCATATTAAGCGTCTTGCTCGATGGAATGGAAGCGCATCTAGAAGATGACATTATGATGAGGAACGGCTGCCTCACACTTTGTCACTACAAGTTACCAGATGAAGTGGTTAGTTAATATTTTAATATTATATTTCTATTTTATATTTTGTCAGAGAGAGAAAAAGGGAGATCCCTTATTCTTCAAATCATATATTTTTTTTATTGTATGCAGAAGAAATTAATATTGGTGTATTCAAACACGAAAAAATATTGTGCAAATTTAGTAAATAGATAAGCTATCGAATTGTTTTAAAATATTTGTAATGCAATGAAAAGCCAACCTGCAACATGACAACCATCTTAAATATATCTTTGGGAGTTACCAAAGATATATTTTAGATGGTTGTCATCTAAGAACGAAAAATGCCTTACATCTTGTAGTTACACCGACTGTTAATTCATTTAAATTAGAATATGTATGTAAAACTATTCCTTAATGGCTCAAATAGACGAGAGAATGGTATCCAGATGGAGCTATCGGTTGTTCATGGATTTGTTTGTCCTAAATTTGGTAGTATCCGATTACTCCAGTCTGATCCCCAACAACACTACTGAAGATGTTAATTGAATTTGGTATTGATAGGCTTATGTGGTGTTGAAAGTAGGACGTTGTTTTAATTTTACACGAGAGTAGTTTATTGTTTATGAATGTCATATAGTACATATGGTAAATACAATTCTTTCCCTCCTAGCTGTTCGAATACGATCGAGTGATCCAGATCCTGCTGAACAGTGTCAATCTAGGAGGCTTCGCGCAGCATATCGCCATCTATTTGCTGAACTCGCTCCCCTCTCAGGAGGACAGGAAACAGGAACGTTTCTCGGGCAACCATGGCGCTATTGGGGTATGTTGAGTTTAAATATTTTGCTTTCCATACAGACTGTAGCAGGTATTCTTATGAACTCTGCGGTAGCTAACAAATATGAAGGTAAGTTTAAAAAATATTTGTATGCATAAATATTTTCCAGCTAAATATTTTTAAACGTATATAATATAAACGTGTATATAAGTTGCTTTTTTTCTATACCTACAATATGACAAACAATATAACAGATGGTTAGTGGCGATTGCAGGCTACCTGAAAGCAACTTCAATGAATCTACAAGTGTATTGTCAATTCCGAGAAAATATTTGGAGCTACCTCAGGCTATGATTACACTGGTCCTCCACACATTGCTGTTGGTGACAATAAGGTGGGTGGCACCTACATTGATCGGCTCCAATGAGATAAATTGAAACTAGAGGTCGAGGTCGAGGTAGAGGTTTCGTAAAAAATAAAGTACTTTCGTTTTATTTTCTCTACGCTCTGTTTCTATCATATGAATTTGATCTGAATCACTGAAAGATATGTGCGTATTATAAACTGCCTCTTGGCGCAGTGTTGAAGGTGTAAACATTAACGAGAGGCGCAGTGGCTTTAGGCCTTACCTTCATTCTTTTTTTTAATGAAATTGAACAGGCAGACGAACTTACAGCCCTACTGATATAAAGTGGTTACTGCAACAAATGAACACTTGCAAGTTTGCAACCAACTTCAAATAAGAAGGCACATAAAGATGCGTCGTCACCTTCGACGACTAAGACGGAATGCTTCACAGTCTGTTATTATTCTGTCTCTCTATAGTCTATACCAATCAGTGTTATATTGTGGCAAAAATATTTTGCGTGTGTGACGCCTAGGCAGAGAAAGTATATTACGAATTCATTGAGTATGTGTTGCGGCTAAAAGCCAAAGTGCGGATGCACGTGGGTTTAGCCGGTTACTACTAGGTGCAGCCTATTGAGGTTGGTTAAACTTAGGTGTATCGTATATATTTTATAAATTAGATAAATTTATGCGGTTTTAGGCACTGCACCTTAATCTACTGTCCCTGATATTACTTGATACTTATATCCGTGTTTTTACAAATTTAACAGAACTCCTAAATTTAAGCAAGTACTGCTGGCCGCACCTAGTTCTAGCCGACGAGAACTAGGTGTAACCGCACTTCTGCTTTTAGCCGTACATATGCATATAAATTATGTATGCTGTTGAGACCGGCGCCTTCAGTATGTACGTTTTACTTCAGAAATACATTTGTGACTTAGGTGGGAAGGGTTAATGGTGTCACCACAGAATAAATAATAGTACTAACGTACAGAAGTTGCACTCTTTTGATGTTGACTGCTTGCTGACGTTTTAATAGCCTACATAGTTATTATTAATCAGATAAATCGCGCACGCAAGCTAAATAAAACTTTATCACTGCGCGCGATTGTCCGTATTACTTTGCATCTTTTCTCCTTACTACATCACAACGGACTTTCCGTGGTTGCTAAGGGCTGTTAAAAAAGAGTAAAAAAAAAATACATTGTGAAATGGTAAGTTACTCAGGTAAAGTACCTACGCTCACTTTAATCGACCATATTATCTACTATGTGAGTTCTGTGATGCCCAACGCATGCAACTTGCAAGGCCATTCGTCGGGAATCGCGATGCTTGGTTCGTATCGTAGCATAAACAACAAATCAACCCGAAATACCTACTATTCCAAACAGAAATACATGTATGATCGTAATCTACTTAGTTGAAAATCTTGTAAACAAAGTTTTAATTTCAGTATTTTGTGCTATTATAATTTAAAATATTTTAATTACAAAGAGGAGTATAAGTATGTAAGTAGGTACTTGGGTAGTGAAGTAAATTTCAACTAAGTTTTGTAATAAAGTACTTAGGTATTACTTCTGTAGTTAAATTATTACTTAATTACTTTTTCGCTATAAGTACCTATCTAAGAAAAAAATGATATAAATTTGCCTTTCATTATCCTTCGGTAACTCAAAAATATATCTGAATCCTTTTAATTGCTCATTAAGCATCCATCCCCGCAACAATTATAGTAGGAACAACTTTTTCAACTATTTTATCCTACAATTAAATATACTAAACACTAAACAAAAACTATTTCAACGAGTATTTAAACAAATATTTACAGAAAATTATTTACGTAAACAGTGTTAAAAAAACTAACATTCAATCGTATAGAGCGCGCTAGCCCCGACTGCGATCTACCCCTGGGGCAGCTCGCGATTGTAGGTAATTATTTCACGCAGGTAGCAAGAGTGACAGAGGCCTGGTGTCACTTCCTTAACGCAAGATGAGACGATAATGAATCAGTTTGTGAGATATTATGTTATTTATTTCTCATAATTGCGTAGTTCACATCATCATTATTAAAATAACATCATAGTTTGGAATTTACTACTTTGTCTCAAATCTTTTTTGGTTATTTATTTAGGACTGATTGATTAATTAATGCATTACAGCCTATCTAAAGGCCACTTATAAACAAGTGACATTTTTTTAAATTCGTATATTTTTTAATATACCACGTCTTTATCATATATATTTAAAATTTCAAGTTTCCAGATCATCGGGAAGTTAGCTTAAAATAGCTTACTAAATTCCACCAGGAACGATAGACAGACAGACAGACAGACATACAAACAAGAAAGTGATTTAATAAAACCGTGCTGAAATAGTCCTCCCCGTAGACTGTAGACCAATCATTGATCATTGAGGAAATATTAAATATCCGCATATTGTAGTAAAATCAATGTAAGAACAACCTGTTATGTGCCGTTGTGTATCAATTCTAAAAGCGTTAAGAACGCAAGAATAGTTTTTTCGCCGCTGTAGTTAGTATGTCAAATTTCGAATTATACTTTTCACGCACCCCACAACATTATCAAAAGAGCATCGAGTAGACTTTTGACATCGTGTGAAATTTAAGCCTAGCGATTTCTTCTATGACTCTTGTCTTCGGCTCTATTTTTGAAATAATTTTGGTCATTGACTGCTCCGACTGCCAACGCAGTATGCATACAATTTCTAGTTGAAATAAACGCGACAACTTTTCAGGGATTCGACGTGCATTGCAAGAAATTAAACGAACATAATTTAAAAGTTCTCCCGCCCGGTACTGTCGCTCGTAAAATGCGTGTAGACAACGTTTAATGACCCACCGCTATCCTCACGTGCATTCCGTGACTTCGCTAGCTCGTAAACCTTGTGACATTAAATGAAAATGTGTTTAATGTTTCTTTCACTTTTTCTTTCCTACATGATTTTCGAACTAAGACCTTACTTTAAATGTTTTATATGTGAAAAGTAAAGTAACTAACTAGTTTGTTCCCTTTTTGGCCATGAATCACCAGTTTTTAAGAGTAAACTATATCTGTAATTGTCGTCTTACGGTTCGCCTTTTAGTATGGCATATTTCCGTTGTCCGATAGGAAAACGGAATTTTATTTAAGATATCTTTGCACGCCTCATAACGCGAAGCGTTATTAGTTAGTGCATTACTCTCGACAAGTCAAGCTCAAGCAATTTTGTGGTCTTAAAATGTTACTATCATAACCATATTGCACTTATACGATAGTATGAGTAGCCGTATATCAAGAAAACAAACTAATTAATCCATCTTATAATTTTTAAAAATCATTTTATATTGCTACTTTGATAAAAATAGTTTGAAAAAAATTTACGTGGACGTCCTGATATTGATTTTAAATATGGTCACTATAACTCCCGAAAAAATCGACGTATCGAGACCGGTTTTTTTTTATTAGCTTCAGAATTACATCAACTGGTTCCCTATTTCATATCAATAGTACGCGTTGTTTGTTAATAAAATGATTTTCAAATTTATTGGTATATGTATATTTCTTTAGCCCTTGATAGACAAAGGACAAATGTAATGTGTATACAGTCTATATCGATTTTATACTTTGTGTAATCGATTTATTATGGTAATTATTTCTCTTCAAAACTATGTTAAACGCTCATGAGGAAAATTAAACATTCATTAACTCAATCAGAGTATGCAAGTGCGCATCAGAACGTCGACGACTGCGTGCTGCTGCGACGGTCGCAGTTCGTAGCTGATCGCCTGTCTTCCAGGTAGCCCTTTTGCTCCTTCGCGACGGCGTGTGGTATTCTTATGCTGCTACCGCGGTTGGCGACACCTAATAAGAACATTAATAAATATATAATATTTTGAAGTCTATTTTCTCACTACAACAAAAATCATAAAATTACAAACGGTATGATAAAGTTTATGTCTTAACATAATATCCTTCGCGTCCTGTTCGCGAACCGCGGATTTAGAGTTCATATTCCCAAAATGTTAATTGGCTGTCAAGTAAACATTAGTATTTTGGTAACACATACCGGCACTGAAGTCGTTAATACTGGCAGTTTCATGAAGGCGGTGAGTCTTCGTTCGTTGTCTTTACCCCCACGCGGGTCATACACCTTGACGTGCTTCATGTGCACCTTCGACAGTTTGTCTCTATGGCCTTTTCGATTTCACTGCAACAATCAATTAATGATGCATAAAACTAAGGCGTTTAAACTTTCAACGAAGAGAGAATTTAGTAGCTATAGGGGGAATGGAATGTCAATTACATAAATGTCCATGCATTTGAATATAGATTACAAAGTTCATAATATGTTCTAAAGTCTATATTTTGCTGTCATCAAGTTGGCTTTTTTTTTTATAAAGCTGAAGTCAGAAACGAATTTACAGTCGACCTGATAGTGAGTGGGTACTGCAGTCCATGTACACCTACAGCCTGGAAGTTGCCAAAGAAGCCTACAGACGCATTGTCACTTCTGAGGGCTAAGATGGAAAGCCTCACCACCTTTAATTATACTGGCTCGATATTCCCTTCAGACTGGAACAGCAGTGCCAGGACTGCTAGTTGGCGTCAGGAACTGGTAAGAGGTTAATGCTTGCCAATCCAGACTAACTCTTAGACTGAACGAACTGAGGCAACGAGCAGCTGGTGTTTGCTGTTGGC